ATCTGTTTCCTAGGAAACAATCGAATGACACACGAACAGTAGAAAAGCAACCCGACCTCACATACTGGCTTCCACTGTGACTGACAATTAACATGAATACAGTAAATGTCAACAGGAGCTAAATATAGTTTACACACAGGGTCCTGGGCTGCTGTTTATTGGTGGCTGAGTGCTAAGCCATAATGACACAGGGGGAAATTTCTCTGGGTCTTAGAATGCAGCCTCAAGCCCAAGCTTCAGCTGCATTGTTATAAGAATGCACTCTGCTAGATCAAGAGCTCCTTGTGGGCAGGGACTACTGGCTTATCTGAACTTTGCATCTCTCCTAGCACCTAGCCCACTGCTCTGCACACAGGCATTTCATACATGCTTATTAGGTAAGTGACAAAACAAAAAAAAAATCCACCAAGTGGACAACTTTGTAGAACTCAATCAGGCACCTGCATCTTGTTGTCCTTTCTCACTCAGCTACACCCATCACAAGCCCCCAGCCTTCATTCACTAAAAAAGAGAAGAAAATTGCATCATTGATCCATTGATCCATCATTGAAGCATCATTCAAATCCATAATGAGCCAAAGAATCCCAGGATATTAGAACTGGTAGGAACCTTACAAACCATTTAGTTCAAACTGCTCATTTTATAGGTTAAAAAAAAACTGAAGTCCAGGGAGAAATGATTCTAATTCCACAAGAATTTATTAAGTACTTTACTATGTGTAAAGCACCGGGCTAGTCACTGGGGATACAAAAGCAAAACAAAAAATATTTCCTGCTTACGTCTGGGTGAGGGAAGGAGGCAATAGAATACTTATTAATATTGGTCCACAAAAGATAATCTGATGGGGAGAAACAAACAAATGAACATGAATATCCAGGGGACATCAGGTTTCCTCATAGGAGACAGTGACTAAGTTGAGTTTTACAGGAATCTAAAAAGAAGAGATAAGAAGGATTCTAGGTACCCAGGACAGCCTTTCCAATAGCAAAGAGGTTGGAGATGAAATAATAAGTTCAGGGAGCAGCGAGCAAGCCGGTAGGAAACTGCAGGTTGGGTAATTTGGCTGGAATGACTGCATGAAAGGAAGCAATTGGTAACAACACTGGGAGGAGAGGAGCCAAATTGTGAAGAGTGTTGAAAGTCAGGCAGAAGAGGTTACATTTTGTCATGGATGCAAAGGAGAGTCATTGAAGATTCTTGAACAGGGGTGTGACGCAGTTAGACCTGTTCTTTGAGAAAATTCTTTTAGCAGAGATGTAGAGGCTAGATCTAATAGGGAAAAAACCAGAAGAAGGAAGACCAATTAGAAGTCTATTGCACTGATTCATGCAAAAAGTGATGAGGGACAGAATTATGGTGGGGGATATGTTAATTCAATTCAATAAACATTTATTAAATGCCAATTATATGTCAAGCACTGTGCTAAGTGCAGTGGGGAGGTGAGGGAAATGCAGACCTGTGATCACTTCTGAACTCCCAGCGTGGAGGTTCCCTCAGCCAATGCAGATTGGCAGGGCCTTTGTCACTAAACCACTGTCTTAGAGACTTGCCTGGGACATTGAGAGATTAAGTGACTTGCCTAGTCACACTAGTATGTATCAGAGACAGGACTTGAACCCAAGTCTTCCTGACTTCAAAATCAGACCTCTGTTCACCCTACCAGGCCAGGATACTTCCCTCCATAAACTCATAGGAATATGGATTTCAAGCTGCAAAGATCAGAATCCAAATCTCCCAACTTCCAGCGCTCCACTACTCCACACCGTTTTCTATGAACATTAAACATCCTGGTAATTAAAAGCAGTAAGTTACATATGAAACATTATCCTTTTTACATGGTATACTCATAAAATGAAGATACTAACTGCTAATAATTGCAAATTCTGAAGTCTGTTCTAGCTATAGGCATAGTATAATTAAAGGGAAGAAAAAGCATCAAGCTAGAAATGAAGTCTCAGGTTCTAGTCCAATGTACCTTAATTTCCATAATAATGTTTGCTGCTCCCTACTTTACAGGGAAGAGGTAACATTAGGGGAAATGCTTCAAACTCCTTTTAAGTTCATGGTAATATAATGAAACCTCAGTTAATTTGCACTCAGCTAACAGGATTCCTCTGCTAACTGAATTTTTGGTCTGCATCAGAATTTTAGTAGATTAATAATAATGGTAACAACTGACATTTATAAAGCACATTGAAAAGCTCTCATTTGAGCCTCATAGCAACCCTGCAAGGCAGGTAGTGTAGATATTATCATTGCCATCTTATAGATGAGGAAACTGAGTCTGAGAGAGGTTAAGTGACTTGGCCATGGTCACAGAGCCAGGAAGTGTCACATGCAGGTCTTCCTGACCCCAGGTCCAACATTCTTAACTATTATACCATTCTGCCTCAAAGCAAAAGATAAGAAATCAAGTTTATCCCCAAAACTAGTTTAGAAAAACACAGGGTAAGGCAGGATATTTCCCACCAAATCTCTTCCACTTTCGACAGCATTTGAAAGCTTCTGAGTAATGTTGATATCTATCTTGCTTGGTCTTATTTGAATCATTCTATCATCATCCATTCCCAAGTATTACAACTTCAGCCATAAGCAAACTATGAAGAGGATTTAAAGGAGATGACTGCAGATGATTAGGATTGGACATAGGACCCATTAATCATATACCCCTAAATCTCAACTACTGTTGACCCAAGAGTCAAAATTGGGCAACTGAAAAGCAGGCACCACCATTTGAGTGAATAGCATCAGATTAACCAAGAGGGCCAGAGAGGCAACATGGAGGAGTGGAAGGAACACTTGCCAGCTTTATATGTGCAGGTCCTAATTTACTGCTAATTCGCTGAGTGACCTTGAACAAGTCACTAGTCCAGGTAGATACAGTAATCAGAAGGGTACTGGGGGTAGGACGGGAAGTGATGACACATCAGGCAATTTCAGCGTAATAGCAGCAGAAAGTGCGGTGGCCTGGGAGCTAGGGGCCCCAAATGTTACTCCTTGGCATTGCTACAGACTAAATGTAGGTGTCTGGTCCCTCTGGCCCTCTCTTTTGTTATCTATATATTGGGGGAGTAGGGAAGTGAGCTGGACAAATTATTTTAAATGTCCCTTCCAGTGTCAACATTCCATTAGTGCACATCAGTATTGCCTTTTTTCCAATCCAATCCAACAAGCATTTATTAAATGCCCAGTATGAGCAAGGTACTGGGCTTATGAAGACAAAATAAAGAACAGTCCATTTCTTTCTCTGGTTCATTTACAGATGAGGAAACTGAGGCAAACAGAGTTAAGTGATTTGTAAGTGTCTGAGGCCAGATTTGAACTCATGAAATCTTCCTGACTCTAGGCCTGGCACTCTTTCCATTGTGCCACCTAGCTACCTTGTTTTGTGTTTACATATATGTATTTTTATACATACATGTGGGTACATGCATGATAATTTGAGGAGGAGGGAGAGAGCATTAAGTAAGGAGGAAGGAAAGGAATAAGCATTTATTAAATGAATACTTTCTGCAAGGCACTACATTAAGCTCTTTACAAATATTATCTCATTTAATTCACACAGCTACCCTGAGAAGTAGTTGCTATTATAATCTGCCTTTTACAATCAAAGAAATTGAGACAGACAGAGAATAAGTGACTTGCCTTGGGACAACTAGTAAGTGTCTGAGTTCACACTTGAACTCAGGTCTTTCTGACTGCAAGTCTAATGTTCTATCTACTTCATCTCCTAGACATAAACCACTAAGAAGATCAGAGGTGGCACATAAATTGAGCCTTGAAAAAAATTAGAGATTCTAACAGGTGTAGATGAGGAGGGAATTCATTCCAAATCCAATCAGCATTTTTAAGTGCCTACTGTATGTCAGTCACTGCACTAAATGCTGGGGATACAGTTAAAAAGGAAAACAGTTCCTGCCCTCAAGGAGCTTACAATCAACAGGGGGATACAACACATAAAAGGAGACAGGAAAGGATTGGGGGGGGGAAGGAAATGAGGGTACCTGGGGCAGGGGAATCTTGTTCCATGGAGTTGAAACCAGGCAGAGCAGGAGATGAAAATTGGAATGGATTGAGAGTCCAGTTTCTGTCCTCTATAAAGGAAGGCACTGGGGAAAACTTAGTACTCCTCTCTCTAGTCAGAGAGGAAAGGAAACTGAGGGAGGTGATGTCAATCAAGGCTTGAGTTAACAGCATGGTGGTGAGTTTAGAAGTAATAAGCTCTAGGACAGATATCTTGTTCCTTGAGGTTGAAACAAATCAGAGCAGCAAATGCAAAATTGAGTGCCTTCCCGAGCATGCAGAGTGCCTTCGAGGTATGTGGAATGCCACTGTGGCATTGCCACCTGTGCAAAAGCATGGAGGTAGTAGATGAATGCCAATCTTGATGAATGACACATAAGCCAATATGGCAGGAAAGCAGAGTCTACAAAGGTTGTGTGAAGCCAGACTGTGGAGAGCTTTAAATACCAAGTGGAGGAGTATGTGTTTTATCTCAGAGGCAAGAGAGCTCCTAGGGTGGAGGAGTAATGGCCCTTCTATTCCTCTGCACGGCAAGGCAAGGGAATGAACAAACACTCTCTGATGAAGATGCAGACAATGAGGAGAAGCTAGTTTATAATTAACTCAAGTTTCCAAAATGGAATCCTCCCCACTATAGCTCCTTCCTTTGTTTCCACCATTATACTCCTTTTGAAACATTTGACAGCATTCCCAACCTGCTTGTTTGCAATTTGTTGGTAAGTGTGGCTTTGTGGGTTCTGTTTCCCTCTCACAATGTGTCCTAAGCATCAGTTCCATTACATTTTACAAAACAAGTCCCAAGCAAGAGTTTTAAACTGATAAATAAAACAGAAATCAGATGATCATACATAATGGATGGGGGCTTAGCTAATGTGGCAGTGAGCTCTTTAGAAATAGCTAAATTGATAGATAAAATAGAAATGCTACTCATGAGGGTAACCAGGTAATCCTAAGATTTTTTTATTTCATTTTAACAGCATTATTTCACGGTTAACTTCAACCACGAGAATCAGAAATCCCTAGAGTTGAGAACAGAAGATGCTAAAGACTGTGATGAATGGGTAGCTGCGATTACTCATGCAAGGTAAGCCAATGAGTATGGAACACTTCTTCCTACCCAGTGATCTTCAATGTGAAACTGATTTCTTGTACTTATTGTGCTATTCAGAGAAGGAATATGGTGTAGTGCACAGAAGGTATGCTTGTGGTCAGAAAAATCTAGGTTCACATCCTGGCTCTGACTACATACTGGTGTATAACCACAGACAAATTATAACCTCTCCATGCTTTAGGTAACTGTCTAAGGCAAAGTTAAAGAGGAGTTCTGCATCAAATGGAAGAAGTTCCCATATTGAGAGTTCCTTAGAATAATAAAATTAAGTATCTGGGCTCCCCTCAAAAAAAATGAGTTGTTTGGTAGAGGTCACCTTGCCTATGAGTTTGGGATCTCTAAGACATGTAGTGAAGTAAAGTGATATGGCTGCTTTGTTAAGATGGTGTCAAGAAAGAGCCTTGGACTGGAATTTCAGGGGACTGGGGTTATAGTCCCAAATCTTCCATTAACAAACTGTTTTTGCTCCTCTGGGTCTCAGTTTATTCATCTGTGAACGAAGGGGTTGACCTGGATAACCGCCAACATGGCTTCCAATTCAACCATGTCATGATTCTAGATAGAGATGAAATATGTTGGACACTTAGAAGATGGGAGTGACTGAGGGATCCTAGGGTCTACAAATCATTTGTGGCCCAGTGCAGACATGTTGCATTCTTTTTGGCACAGTAAACAATTCTGCCAACAGTTATTCCAAGACGTTTTGAAATGACTCTTACCATCTTTGGATACACTCCATTCTAGAATACTAGGTGAACTAAAAGGTTCCTTTTTGCTAGCATACTCTAGAATTTCCCTTTAGTCTCAAGCATGTACTTGGGTTCCATAGCTTTAGAGCCAGAGCTGTCATCGGGGTAGATGAGGAAAGCATCTACCCTTGAGATTTCACTGTAACATTTCTGGCTTGAATTACCCTAAGATAAATACTCACTTGACCCAGGGGTGGGATTATCTATGTTAAAAACCATGTGCACTTATAAGTAAAATTTTAAATATCCTCTGTTGCATCCTTCCCTCCCTCCCCATCCCAATTCTACTCCTCTTTGGTGATATAGTGAATAGAGGGCTGAACTTGAAATCAGAAAGATCTAAGTTCAAAACTGAATAAAAGTACTTAGAGGACTTAGTAACTATGTGACCTGGGTAAGTCAGTTAGCTTTCAGTTTCCTCACTGTAAAATGGGAATTATTAATAGCACCTACCTCACTGGATAGCTACAAGAATCAAATGAGATAGTATATGTAAAGTGCCTTGTGAACCTTAAAGCATTATATAAATGCTAGCTATAATCATCGTCATTATTACTGTTATTATTCAGAAGAGGACACTAGGGGTACATTATGTGAGCGCTGCTCCTCCTCCTAGACAACTGCACTAGAACCAGTAGGAAAGACGGCTTGAGGGTGGTGGAAGGATGCCAACCTAGTACTCTAGGTACAAACAGCATCCTCTTGAACCTCTCTCTTCTTTTCAAGTTTTTTCAAGGAGTTCTTTCTGGCCACTTTCTCCCTCCTCATCCTTTCCCATCTCTGAAGGAAATTTCTAATGCATTCTGACTTCCTTGGATTTCCTAATGTCAGTGATTTTCTGTGTATTTTATGTAAATGAGCCCTTAGATATGTAAACCAGAGTGATAAGAAGGATATACAAGGATACAGTTGTATGACAGATGAAAGGAGAGAGCTAGTTGGTCAGTCAATAAACATTTATTAAGCACCTACTATGTACCTATTCCTATGCTAAGCTCTGAGGATATGAAGAAAGGCCAAAAACAGTTCCTGCTCTCAAAGAGCTCACAGTCTAATGGGGGTTAGGGGGAGAGAAGATAGCATGAAAACAATTGTGTATAAATAAGATATATACAGTATAAACTGAAATAATCAACAGAGTAAAGACACTAAAATTAAGAGGGATTAAGATCTTCTGAATTTCTGGTTTTGAAATTCAGAAGATCTGGGTTCAAATCTCAGCTCCAAAACATGGTATCCACGCAACCTTGGATCCCTAAATGAGACAACTCCTAAGTGGAACAAAATTCTCTGTGCCTATGATTAATTGACTGTCTACATACAGTGTCTTTCTTCATAAATTCTCATGCCTTTAGCAAAGGAATTTTGTGACACTCAAGACTGATGATCTAATGAGTACATTATAAATGGTGACTTACTACTAAGGACGAGGGAACAAAAAGTTCCAATTTAATATTTAGAATAAGAGCTCTCATCCTTTTGGGAATAGTATATTTTGTGATTCCTTTTCTCTGTTTGCCCCAAAGATGCCATTTGCAGGCAAAATTTTGTTATGATTCTATTATAAAGAAACCTTTCTTTTAACAAAGTTGTATTTGCCCACGGAAATCATGCTTTGCTTCTCCAATTATAACTAATTCTGTAATATAAAGAATCTTGAAAAATAAATGCTTTCTTTGGTGCCTTGCTTCAAAAGACCTTACCTTTAAAGTGAGGGAAATGTGCATTTTTTAAATTAAATACTAAGGAAAACTAGAGTTCTTTTGTCCAGTTATGAAACGCCAATGACCCTTCAACTCCTTTCCTCACCTCAAACATACCAACCACCTAACAAGAGTGAACTAAATTCCTAAGCTCTCTGCCAGAACAAAGCTGATCTTTAAAAGATCCAGAAACTGGGAATTAGAATAGGCCAGGAGGGTTGTCAGAAGGGAAATGAAGTAAGGCTTTCTCTCCTAGATTCACTTGTCAGTTCTCTAGAGAAACTTCCAATGAATCAATCAATCACCAAGCAGTTATTAAGTGCCTGGTTTATGCCAGACGTTGATCTGGGCACAATGGGTCACAAATACGGTCCCTGTCCTAAAGGAGTTTCCATTCTGCTAGGGGAATAGAAAGGGTTTGGAAAGTGGTGGCCAGGGAAGGGAACTTTGGCTCACGCAGTCACAGGAATTGTAAATGGAATATAGACCAGCAGATTGTCCTGGCCTTTCTAACATGATGATGATGATAGTGATGATGATGATGACGATGATGATGATAACTAGCATTTACACAGGCCTTTAAAGTTTGTGAAATGCTTTACAACTGTTATCTCATTTAATCTTCACAACAATCTTGGAAAGTAGATCCCATTACTATCCCCATTTTACAGATGAAGAAATTGAGGCAGTGAGTGGTTGTGACTTGCCCCAGGTCACATAGCTAATAAATGTCTGAGGTGGATTTGAACTTTGATCTATGCTAACTCCATGTCCAGTGCTCTATCTACTGCACCACTTGGCTGCTTCTAGTGTTTATATTGATTTGATTACTAAGAGGAAGAAAAGAGGAGGTAGCAGAGAGGTCTTTTCTGGGCAGGATGGTAGGTATGAAGAGCTCAATACCAACCAGGCAGGATCTGGTGTCCTGGTGAGTGGCTGGGTACTCTGGAGGAGTCTAGAACCAGCCAGATATAGAGGGATGAGGTAAAACTTGGCTCATTTCCTCTAATTCCAGGCAGGGATCTTTTCCCAAGGGAAAAAAAAACACAAACAGAATGGATTAATTGGGGACGGGGTAGGAAGCAAAATCACTGGAGGTCTAGATTAGGGGGCAAAGCATCACTGTTCATGATGAGGGAGGAAGGCAGAACTGATGACCAGATACCTGTGCTGGCTAGGCTGTTGTATTCTGGTGGGTGAACTAGAAGCCTATCTCTGCTTTACTGGTCAGCGCTTGTCATCTGGGAATCTGGATGAAAATTATTTGAATGTCCCATGGACCTAGGGTTTGGGCCTTTCTACCTGAAAAAGAATAAAAATGAATTCTGTTTGCTAAGTTGTAAAACTGTCAATATGTCCATAATATACCCTTGAGAATCACTGAAGACACTCTGGAAATGGGTCAGAATCATGTCTCAAAATATTGGAAGGGTAGAGTATCTGTCACACAGTTATCCTTTTTGGAAGTGGCCAGCTTCCTACAAAACCAAGTGGAAGGCCTCACAGATTCACCTCAGCCTCATATGACCCAGCAAAATATAAAGTCCTTGAAGGGAGGGGCTGTTTTATTTTGTCTTTATGTCTCCAATACCTAAGTAGTACTTTGCACATAGTAGGTATTTAATAAATAAATGCAGCAATAAGCATTTATTAAGATCTGACTACGTACCAGGCACTGAGGACACAAAAACAAAAACAAAACATTTCAAATTCTGAGTTCAAATCTGGCCGAGGGCACTTATTACCTGCGTGACCCTAGATGACTCACTTAACCACTGTCTGCCTCAGTTTCCTGATCTGTAAAATGGGGATAATAAAAACACTTACCTCCCAGGGCTGCTGTGAGGATCTAATGAGTTAATATTTGTGAAGCACTTTACAAACCTTAAAGCGCTATATAAATGCTAGCTAAGCAAAGAAACAGTCCCTACCCTCAAGAAGCTTATATTCAAATGGTGGAGTGTCCATGTATAGTTATGCATAAAACGCATTCAAAGCAGATACAAGGTAATTTGGAGAGGAGAGGAGAAGGGGAATGACTAACAACTGAGGAAACCATGCAAAAGTTAACACTTGAGCTGAATCTCAAAGGAAATTGGGTATTTCAAAAGGGGAAGGATGAAGAAGGAAAGCATTCCAGGCAGAGATAGGGGATGTAGTTTTATGTGTGATTGTTGGATGGACAAACGAATAATATATGATGTCATGTGACTTAGGGCAAGTTAGCCCACCTCCCTGCTCCTCAGTTTCTTCATCTCTGAGGGATTCTGGGGACCCTTCGGTTCTACGATTCTTTGTTAGATCCAGAAAGGACCTTACCGGTAATACAGGACTTTAGGATTTCAAGCTGGAATTCAATTCCAAGTTTATTAAGAACCTACTATGTACAAAGCTCTGAAAAAGGTCTTAGAAATTTAGAGTCCAACACCTTCTTTTTACACAGGAAGAAATCAAGGGCCCAGTTATTTTGTCAAAATAACTGAGTTGGGACTAGAATCCAGGCCTCCTGGCTCCGAGTCAC